CAGTTTACCGTGAACGCCATCCTGACTGCAGCTTTTAATCTGTCCAATCAGAATCTCATCGAGGAAGGGATGGAAGACCACGTAGCGGAAATGCACTTAAAAGAAAACAGATCATTAATGTTATGTCCATGTTAGTGAACTATACTCCTTCCACTGGGTGGCAGCCATTAAAACAAAATCTCACATCCTATATACCCTCCAAAATGCTTACCCAGTTCCTTTTACAATTTCCTCACAGGCACTCATTAAACAGAAATACAGAAATACAGAGTTCTGACTCCTAACTGTTTGAATTCTGACAGCAGCTGATCAGCAGTGCCCTGTTCTCTGCTCCTCAGTCTTAGAAGAGTTTAAGTTCACAGAATGAAACTCTGATGAAGAACATGGAGATGAAGAACATGGAGCAGGGCCTCTGCTTAAGTTACGACGTGAGCATTCCTGCACAACGCTTCAAGGCCAAGTGTACCAGCTGAAATACTTTTTTGTGATGCTTCTGCTCCTTTTATGTCTGTCAGCAATGCTGTATTTTCTTTAAATGAAATACTTGTTATCAACTGTTACGAGAGTAAATAAGTTTCTCTAACGTTGTCCCTGCTTACTGCAGGGGGGTTAGACTATATGACCTTTAAAGGTCCTTTCCAACCCAACATATTCTACGATTCTGTAACCAGATCTTTTATCCAGGCTAAGTAACATGTTTCTAACTAAACATTCAGCATTTGCAATTTTAAGAATGCTACACTAAGAAAATCTTAGCCAAATCATACTTAAGAGCAATGTGACATCGTTTTAGCTCAGTGCTCCTCTTTTACATAAAATCAGGCAGTACATTAAAGAAAGAACTATTATCAGACACAGCAGGATTTATCAAAGTGCTAGCCCAGATTCTGAAAGCAGACTTTCTTCCAAGCTCAGACAGAATATATTCTCTTGTTTCAGTTCAAGGAGTAACCCAAAGTTAAGAAGCTGAATGGAGATTAAAGTAAGGAGGAAAGTCTGCCATCCTCCTTCACTATTAGAGAATCTTTTATTTGCAGGGAGTGATCTCTACTGGAGTGAAAATTTAGACAAGGGCAGCCATGTACAGTCAGACCAGTTCCTCTCTAACAGGAAACATCTCATTTGCTTAAGCTACTCTTCCACATTGAAAACGGAAACCAGAAAAACACATCTCTTCCCAGTTTAAGAAAAACTTATTTTGACTTACAAAAATATATAAAATTTGCTTTTACGCATTTACTTCCAGTTTTTACTCAGATTTGCCAAGTCAAAATAGAGAAATCAGTCATTTCTCATTTTAAAAAAGAAAGTCACTAGAAATGTATGCTGAACCAGATCTGTCTAAGTCTCAAACGAAAACGTAGTGAAACTTCCAGCTAGGAAAACAGCATCAAATGCTGTGCAAATGCTATATGTAGAAACATGTTTCAACGTTCCAGCTAGGGAAAATAAGCTTCAAAAAGAAAAAAATACACACTACAGAAATGTATAATAATCAAGATAACTTATTTCTATGTGCAGATTTCCAATCATTTTAAATCAAATTAACCCCTTCCTTGACCCACACCTATGATTCTGATTGTAGAAGAGACGGACTGCTGGAGAAGGCAAACAGGGCTGGCTATTTAAAGCTGCATTTGTATCCCACCCCCCAAAAAAAACCCAAAGAAAAGAGACTTCTGCCACGCTTCTCTTGCCCTCCTAACAGGAACAGAGGTAAGGCTATGAACTTCAGTAAGTTCCTTTAAATTTACTTTCCCTAACAACTGAACTTAGCTTCCACTTCCAGGGCATTAACCTTATGCAACACTACATAACTGAAAATGAGCACATACCTTTGGTATGGGATGCTCCATCTCCAGGGAATATGTACGAATCTTCCAGCTTTGTGATATCATATAGACAGATACAGAGGCCGACGTTGTATACAACCTGATCAAAGGAAAATAATAATTAAAAAGTAGTAAATCAAGCAACGCACTAGGTTAAATGGAGCAAACCATCAAGTTTATACACAACACACACCTTTTTAATAAAAAGAAGAAAAAAAAAAAAGCAAAAAAAAGGCCAAAAAAGGCCAAAAAAAAAAAAAAAGGCAAGAAACAGAAGGGTGGCAAGATGGGAGGGAGGCTGCTTTTGTACACTCCCTTCAACAGTTCCAGCCCAAACCTCACTGCTTTTTAGAGGAACCCTCAACTTATTTGAATATGTTTTCATGGGCACTGGAAAGAGCACTGCTACAAACAGGAACCCTTGAGGTAGTTGTCAGCTGAGCGAGAACCTGACCTGCCAAGATAGAAAACAATTACCCACAGCCACCAGTTACCAGCCCCACAGCTTGTCCAAAGGCTAAACATACTTTTTACTAGAGTTACACTCTCAGAAACCTCTAGGCTTGCATTTGTCTTAAATTATATTAGTTCCGTGGAAAGATGAGAAGAACTCTGCATTGCTCTGCTACTTCCCAGTCAGCTTCAGAGCGTACAAAATTTAAGGTACCTATCAGTCATCAGTGGACAAGGGAAGACTTTTGCTTTTCATAACCCATCTCTATAATCTGCTATTCACAATCCTCGATCACTTCAGGTTGCTCTTTTGAGCTCCATTCAGGTTCACAAGCTGCATTTCAAGTTTTGCACCTGCCTTGCACTGAAAGCTCTATGTTAATCACAGCCTCCGGGGCTGCACAGCGCAGCTGTGACCTCTTGGTCTACAACAGTGCACTTTTTTATATCCTGCACCTAACACCAACTTCTAACTGCCACACTGTATTTCAAGTACTTAGCACTGATCAAGTCAACTACTAACACCTTCATTTCTCTTCCAGTATTACAATTCTACAAATTATTTACTTTGTCTTTTTAAAATTCCTCTATTGGACGGAGTAGTTTGCATCCATTTTTTAGCCCATGTTTCGGATTGCTGCTCTTAACACGAACCAGCAGTTACTCCTGCTTCTCTTCCATGCACCCCTGCCTCATCTGGCATCTCAGTATCTTCCTGTTACAGCACTATCTGTGAGAAAGAGAGCCCCCTTTGAGATGATGTACAGCCAACTCTTTGTTTACAGTCTCTAATATCTGCTGCCCTGGATGGCCTTCACCTGGAAACTATTCCAACAGCTCGCCCACACGTCTCACTTGGAACAAATCACAGAATGGTTTGGTTGGAAGAGACCTTAAAGATCATCTAATTCCAACCCCCTGCCACGGGCAGGGACACCTCCCACTAGACCAGGTTGCCCAAAGCCCCATCCAGCCTGGCCTGGAACACTTCCAGAGATGGGGCTTCCACAACTTCTCTGGGCAACCTGTTCCAAAACCTCACCACCCTCACAGAAAAGAATTTCTTCCTAATATCCCATCTAAATCTACCCTCTTTCAGTTTGAAACCATTACCCCTTGTCCTATACACTCCCTTGTAAAAAGGGCCTCCTCAGCTTTCCTGAAGCCCCCTTAAGGTACTGGCAGGCCGCTATAAGGTCTCCCTGGAGCCGTCTCTTCTCCAGGCCCAATTCCCCCAGCTCCCCCAGCCTGTAAAAGGCAGAAATGCTCAGGGACCTTACGATACCCGCATCAACCTGTACGTGACCCGTACTTTACCTTGTTGGCCAATTTCTTGTTCAGCTCTTCAGCAATGGATTCATTCAGTTTCCTTTCAAACTGCCAGGGAGGAATTCTCACCGTGTCAGTCATCTCTACCCCAGGACAAACATGGCGGCGGGCAGCGCCTCTGAGGAGACACCGACAGCCTCAGCAACCGGGGCACCCCCACCGGCAGTTAAAGACCCCCTCCCAAAAAAAAACCTAAAACCCCACAAAAGAACAAACCAAACAACTGGCGCGGGGAGGGGGGGG